TAAAATAGGTGTCACACTGCGAAATAAAGAGCGACGATATGGAAGCATGTTCTGAAGCTTTATATCTGCTTGCAACAACAGTTGATGGAGTCGAATCTTGGCTATGGCCATGTTTGATAAGTGCATTGCTGGATTCGGCTTGCATAGCATCTGTAAATAACAATTCTCTTTATTTAAGATACTCATCATTGTATATTAAATTTAATTCAATTTTTGTTCTTTATTGGTAGGTCACATCCGTGCTACGTTCACTGTCTCCATTAGCAACAAGAATAATACGCGATGAAAACTCTTCAACAAATGAAAGGGATTTCCCTGGTACAAAAGTCTTAGGCAGATGCTTGGAATTGTTGAGCAATCCGATTAATCGACCCGCAGTAATAGCCTTTTTAAAGTCGGCAGCACCTTTAGTAGGTCATCAAGTGAAACCTTATTGGGATGAAAAACTGCAGGAACTTTCGCAAGAATTTTTGCATGATAGAAGAAACTCTCGAAAAAGCTCTAAAGAAATGAAAGACGCTATGCAATTGTACTTAATACTTTTTATACATAATTTTATTTGTTATATATGTATTATTATCAGCTACTTTTAATTTTTAGGGATTTAATCTGGGAAAAAAAAGTTGTAGAATGGTTAGAAGAGAGTGTTAAACTAGAAGGAGAATCGTGGGGCACAAAACTTGCTGATGAACTCGCTTTGAAAGTAAACACACCGGGTATAGCAGCACTTTTGGCATCTACCTGCAACAATAACGCTCATATCACCCTGCTCGTCGAACTCGCGCGTTCTCACGGCACTACCAAGGAATATGCGCGAGCGGTTGGTATTTGTGCCAAACGGCATTTGAGTATCGTGCTGAAATTGATGGAGGAGTTTTGCACCATGGAGGATACTAGGAAGGCCCCTGTGAGATTATTAGGTTTTGTGAAAGACACGAAGGCTGCCGCTACCGCTGAAATTGCAAAAGCGGGTTTATTGCAATCTTACGCCGAAATTGCTCAGAAAGGGGATCCGCAGGAACTTTCCCCTGTTTTCGAAAAGCATGTAATACCATGGACTATTAAACAGTTGCACGAATGCAAGGAGTTGTCATCAAAGGAAGCAGGATTATCAGTCTTGGAACAAGTAATTTATAATTTTAATATCCTTCAGTGTATTATATCACTCTGATGTTGGTAATCATTTTTATAGAGACCTTTTTTTAAATTTGTCTCCATGGCGATACATTTTAGGAAATAATAATTGTGTAGAGTAATTTCTCATTGTCTTTTCTAATAAACTTTAAATAAAATTGAAGCATATGTGGAGAATGACTATAAATTCACCGCTCTCGCAATTAATGAAATTCTATATAATCTTAATAAACGAATGAATAAATTTGAATATAAACTATTCTCATCGAAGACGGAACGTTACATTTTGCATGTTATTTAGATAACTTAGGATACTGTTTATTCTAAGTCACACATTCGGTCATTCCTTCCGGATTCATCCTCTCTCGTCCTGCAAGTTTTTCACATACACATTGAATCTATATATCTAAAATAAAATATTGTCTATGTTTTGATTTATAGGTGGCCAATGCTGTTCATCCCGCCAGATTGCCCGAATCTAAAGGCTTGCGTATGAAAGCGACTGCTTTAGCTACTTTATTAGGAATTTTACAGTCGTCGACGGGATATAGGCCATTGCAACTCTATCCGGCGATACTAAAAGCAGCAAACTCTCTAATGTATGTTTTATTTAAATAACAATCTATTCAACATCACAAGTTGACGTTAATATATTTTTTTAAACATTTTTACAGACGTATACCGCCAATACTAAATAATGAAGAAAGACAGATTTTCCTCGGTGCAGCATTGGATAAAACGATTAGTGCTAGTTCAGAGGTACCAAAATTAAGATTTCAATATCATATATATATATATATATATATATATCGATTATTGTCGTGATAATATTATAATATCTTTGTCTTAGATTGTTTTGCAATTACATCCAGAAATAATGCAGCAAGTTGTGGACGAGTTGGGAACAGTGTCCAGCGAAATTGTATCTGATTCAGCGGACGCGCTATCTGAGCTGATTGACATTTTATTACCCTGGATGCAATCCAAGTCGATTGTGGAAAGAAAAAATACTTTATTGGTGCTGCATACTGTGCTTCAGTAATTATTACAATTATAATCACTCAAATATATGTCACATTATTATACAAATACGTTATATATTTGTAACATGTACTTTCTTTTACAGATCTTATTATAATTCTCTGAAATATACATATCCAGGTGGCAAGTTGGATGCCGGAAAACTTGTAGGAAGAACTTTATGCTGGTGTGCGGACACCGAATTTGCATTGAGACCACTGGCGATAGATTGCATGCTTCTCTCTCTGGATATTGCAGCCCGTCATCGGCATGTATCACTTGATAATGTCCTGAATGAGGACATACAACAAATAAAGAAAGAACTTATGATTGAAGATTCATCGGTATCTTACGGAGCCATACAAGTAAGTTGGTATAATTGAGTGATGCTAATAATCACGTAAATATCACTACAATAACGAAAAATGAAAAAAATACTGTTGTAGAGACTGGCTAATGCAGTATCGCAAAAAATCCCAAATGGTGAGATAGTTAGCTTAGCGGAGGGTTTGATAGAAGGCTTGTTATTCTATGGAGAAGCAAGCTTGGTAGCAGGCATAGCTCTCTCACAACATTTTCAAATTAAAGGATCGGAGATATCCAGAACTGATGTTTGTTTAGTTGGTATGTAAAGTGTAAATGATTCTGTCACTAATCGTGATCATTTAAAAATCTTTATTCAATTTTATATTATATTGCTGACAAAATATTTTTTTACTATTTATGTTGTAGAAAGTATTATTGCGCAAATGAGACAAATGGAAAACGCGAGCTGTAGATACATTGCAACAGTGGCTATAGTATCATTAATGAAGCATCATCCGGAAGAAGTGATCGAGCATCTTTTGTCTCAGCCGTTACCACTGGATCCGGGTACCGCGTTATGTTGGAAAGAAATTGGCAATAATGACTTTCTTGGACCTCGAGTAGGTCTTTCTATATACAACTACGTAATTGTTTATACTTTGCATTATAAATATATATCAATATTTTTTTCAGGCTCTGGATATGTTATTGATAAAACTCGAATCCAACAATCTATTCTCTGATATTCCTCTTCCGTCCGTGCATTCTGGACAAAATAATATCGCATCTCTCTCGTCCTTGGCGGCTATCGTAGGCTTAAAGCATCTTCTTGAATCGTCGCATGTGGAAAACTTAATTGCCGGTACGCAATTAGCGGGATTATTATCAATCCTTCTGAAATACCTCTCGGGCTGGTTACATGTCGAAGCTCCTGCGTCGGTGATAAATACGAAATACGGATACGTACCGAATCGGGCAGTACAAAAGATAAATCCTCGTACAGAAGTATATTCTATATTAACCAACATATTAGTAATTATCCAACCAAACGCTGCATCTAATTTACCGATAGAGACTGTACGTATAAAAGCATTTTACAAATTTATGATTGTTTTAACTTTAAGTTAATGTAAATGTTTTGTATCTAGACATTTGCTTCCGAAACACAAGCCGAAGAAAGCCTGATATTGACTGTACGAACAATAATGAAATGTATATCAACTAAAAGCGAGATTCTGTCAAACATGACACAGTATTTGGGTAAACTGATGACTAGCACGATAGCCAGACAGCGAGCGGTCGCCGCTACTTTTTATTCAGAATTGATTGGCAAAATAGATTGTGGACCTATATGGCTTGATGCTATAATTAATACTCTGCACGACGCTAAGATCGATTCTTCCTCTTTAGTGCGAAAACTCGCTACCATCGGACTGGCTAGAATAGCCTACTTGGATCCGAAACAGGTAAAATATTGTTTTTCAATACGTATTTTTATATACTAACATAATTATTGTCTTTTAGGTCGATGAATATTTCGACAATTGCATGGAAGCCTTACTCGATGGATTAGAGGAAACCGCCGGTGGAGAAGGTGGTGCTGAAGTAGTACTTGAGTCGTTACGTGGTCTCTCAGTATTATTATCGGTTCAATACAAGAGACCTATTAGTCCACGAGTGGTGCTGGCCTTGAAACCATTCCTCGAGAAAGAAAACTGGGAAATGAAACTTGCTGCCATAGATGCTTTGGGTGCGATAGCTACCAATTGGCAGAAATCAGTTGCGTTGCCAAATGATGATTTGATTGATCATCTTCTGGGCTGTTTACCGTCTTTGATAATAAGACTGGAAGACTCGAATACAACAGTAGTTAAGGTATGTGTATCGTTGTAAAACGTATTGTTCAGATGTTTATTTATGCTGCTTATGCAACAGACTGCACAGGAAACCTTATGTAAAACTACAAGTATCGTACAGAGTGAGAAATTATCGCATGTGATACGTACTAATTTGGGACCACAAGCAAAGTTCAGTTTCAAGGATTTTTCCAAAAATTTAATAAAATGTTTGAAAGAGGAATTCCCACAAAGAGCAGAAGAACTTAGGTATAGAATACTTTAATGTATTTTTTAATTAAATTAAATATTTAAAATAGGTATGTATCTTAAGATTATTTTTTGACAGAAACGCCGTTGTCCGTGGCTACTCTAAATCGGAGAATTATCATACTAGAGCTACATCCGCACTTCTCTTAGGGTTATTCGATTCTCCAAGACCCGAAGATATACAAAGACTGTTACAACTCCTACGCGATAGAGAAAGTATTGTCAGAATGCGCGCTTCGCAAGCTCTTTCATTTTGCTTTACACTTTAATATAGATAACTTTTCGATGTTTTTTGTTTCGAGATGTATTGAGAAACATTTTCAAGATTTCAAAACTTTTACAGTTAAGTTTTTTTATTCTTGTGATATTGTGTAAAATAGATTTTCAAAAATCAATTTATTACAAGCCATATTATTATAATGTATAAAAATGTTATTGTAATTATGATAGATTTATTAGATAGATTATGTAAATAGATATTTGATTTATTAGGATCATGTGGAAAGATATATTTGTAAATGAATTGGTACACTATTATTTTTAATTAATTGATTGATTTCTCTCTTCTCTATCGGCACTTTACATGCAATGTACGGTCTATGTCCTGTATATGATGAAGGCAACTTATCATAAATAATACTTAATTTATTTTCATTGATTAATTTTCTTATATGTTCTTCTTCTAATATCTTTTCCTTTATGTGTTTCGAACTCACTGTATAAATAATTTTTCAAATTATTTAGTTATATAAGAAATTTCTTGTATATAAAAGAGAATTATTGTAAGTACTTTTCTTTTACACACACATACATGACGCTTTTTCTTTTTTTATCATAGCAGGTATCATCTGTTAGAAAAGAACGACTTTGCATACTATCCCATTTTCTAGCAGCTCCTTGAAATCTCACTGGCAAACGAGATATATGTCGATCAATTTCCTGTAAAATGATTCTATCTGTTTATAATTGCTATGAAACTTATTGCAAATTTACAATAATTGTATAAAATAATATAATACGGGTTTTTCTCGCTCTTCTATGTGTTTCTTTGATAAGCAAGGACGGTGTACTTTAAAATCATCCCAAACTTCCTTCGTCGCTTGATCTATCGTTTTTTTATATATAAAATCGATCACTAATTTTCTTTGATCTTTATCTTGCACATCATCTAAACTTACACTCGGCACCATATGTATTCTTGGCCTTTCTCTAAACAAAGATTAATATTCCAGAAATTTATGCATAATTATACATATGTATGTAGAATCGAATATATATAGAAATTATCAAGTTAATCTTATGTATTTTGTTGTCTTATTAAATTGATCTTGTTATCAAATCATTACTTGATTATGCTTTCCAGATATTTATCTCCAAGAATACGTTTTTTTTCTGTCGCTTTTACATCAATACCGATCATATTCTTCGGCTCCCATAGTGCATTGAATGCAGGACGTTTAGCACAGCTCAGATGCTCCAAAGTATCATGAGCTGTAATCATACGCTGTGGTTGTAATAACATTGTCGATTTCCTCCCAAATCTGCAGAAATCTACTACAAAATTAGATAATCTAGGATATAGAATGATAAACTTTTGGAACTTTTGTAGTATATTAATTACATCAAATAATGTTAATATTTATATGTGGAAAATATCTGATTTACATGATCAATAAATAAAAGATTTAAAATAACATATTAAAAAAAAAAACATCGGTTTTAGAGAGTGCAATCTACAGAGCTGCGAAAATAGCAATTGTTTTAGCACGTCTCAAATATTGAATTGATGAAACATATTTTTATGTAGTAATAGATACATATGTGATATATAATTATAAACCAGTTGTGTGAAAAATGTTTCAAATTTTTAATACATATTCTTTATAACTTTTTACACTATTCAAACTTTTTCACGTATGCATGATATTCGTACAATAATCATACATCTAAGATTGCATTTACAATCTTCTCTTCTCCAAAGTACATGGATCAACATAAAATACTTTATATTATATATGTACATTATATTTATGCTATATATGTATATAACAATGTATTTTTATAAAAATTGTATATAACAATATAATATGATACGTCCCTGAACATTATTACAAGAATTTATATTATAATATATAATAGTATCGTATAAATATAAGATAAATCATTTGCTATGTAATTTTTCTATGCAAACACTAAGTTGTTGAAGACGATGAAGCAAATGGCGCATATTCGCGCTTGATTGTCGGAGACCTGACTGCTCGCCACCCACTTCATGTCGCTGACCTAGCTCGAAGTGTAGTCTAGTCAAACGTTCTTGCTGTTCTCGTATTTCCGTCATTTGCTCCATACTACAATCTTTTCCTACAAACAATTATCGATCTCATTAAGTATTCTATTGTTTATACATCATAAACTATACTAACCAAATGCTCGTAAATTGCCACTGTGAAAATCTTCCAGCAATTGTAGCAAAGCTTGCTCCATATGACGAACATCAGGAACCTCTGACAGAAAGCAATGGTGTTTGCATGGCACCACGGCTTTATATAATAATGCCAAAACAAAATCAAAAGATGTGAAACTTAAACATAAGGCTTAACTTAAATCATAACAAATTATAAAAATTATAAAATTATAACAAATTATAAAATATACAAATGTATATGAATACATTTATGAACTGAAATGCAGGTCAAATAGAATTAGCAAACAAAAGAAACTGAGAAGATGAAAAATCACATTGTATTTAAAATAATTTCCAGAACCTTAATTACCTTTGTGCTGTCTTACAATTCTTGGTGGATCAGGTCGATTAGGTCTCTGCTTTTCCTTCTCGTTAAGATATGTCAGTCGAGATTGATTGCCAGTATAACTTGAAGCATTAGCAGCTCGACTGGAAACCATGGAGCCTTGACTCGTTCCTTGACCAGAGCTTCCTTTGCTAACAATTGGCGATGTTTGTGCGTTATTTTCCCACAATATTTGTTGCTGCAAAAATATCACTCAGATAAATAAGTATATTACTGTACCATTGTTAGGATCAAAATTGTACATTATGAGACATCATACCGATATACTGGAATTATGAATTTCAGTTTTGCTCGGACGATGAGAAGATCTTGCTGGCGTTGATGGGGGAGTAGCTTCTCCTCCATGACTGAGTGGTTCTTCACTTTCTTCTTCTTGAACCAACTGTTGCAATTCTCCACATCCAGCTGCTTCTACCATAACGATGAGAAATGTGTGTAACTGGAAGAACTATTATCCTCTCTCTCTCTCTCTCTCTCTCTGTTCAAATAATCGTTTTATTTTTTAGCATTACAATATATATTTTTGTATTATATTTTAGATAATACAGTAAAGAATAAAATAATTTACCTATTATAGGATACCCTGGTATATCCCAGTATCCTTTCAATTACACTTTCGATGTTTTGTCAGTGCTGTTGATAAAAACATTGAAGACATATTTAAATGTATTTATCATATTAGTTTTTCTTTTTATTATTTACCTTTTGTTCCTCCTAACGTTACATTTAACCTCGTTTGCAAATATAGACTATAAAGATTTTTAATTCTTCTTTTATAGGAAGACCAAAAATTTTTTTACATATAAATGTAGAATTGTCACATCTGAATCATGTGTGTGTGATGCATGAATATCTAGATAAGATATGTACATAAGATGAAAGTACTCTATTGCAGTAGTGTGTGTTTAGTCTAAATTTAGGTTAGGTTAATATGAAACTGTTTTGTCTGAAACCATGAAGGAAGATATAAGGAGACTCCACTCGGTCTCGCCAGTCTACAAGACATGAACCCATTTTAGGTTTCGAGTTCCGTTTCCGATTCTCGACACTCGCAGCGCTCGTGAATTTAGTAGTGCTGCGCATAATGAGTGCGAGTAAGAGAAATGATCATTTCTCTTACTCGCACTCATCAGAATCGGAAGCTGAACTCGAAACCTAAAATGGGTCCACTTTTATTTTACGGAGTGGAGTCTCCTTATATCTTACTTCCTGTCTGAAACATTTTCTAACTTTTTAGAACTTAAGCCAGCGGCACACCATACTTGTTTTTCTGCTAGATTGCTAGCTGGATCAGATTCTTGCCATCGAATTGGCTGCGATACTGGCACTGTCAGCACCGCAGCCAATACAGTGGCAAGAATCTAATCCAGCTAGCAATTCAAGAAAACAAGCATCGTGTGCCACTGGCTTAAGGCCCGATTGCACCAACGTGATTTCAACTTTAAGCGAAACTTAAACTGTCTCCGTCTCTCTTTCAGCTTTAATATGAAATAGATAGAATTTTAAGTCTCGCTTAAAATCAAGTAATATTGGTGCAACCATGCCTAAGTGAAATAGATACTTATCCATTTGGCGAAAGCGAGAAAAGTGTAACCTTAGTGTAGATGTAAAAGTCATACTTGTTCATCAATATATCAGTGACTTCAGCCTGGTGCGTCCATGATGTCCAGAGTAATCAGCTGATTGTGTTGCTGTGAACTGCAAAATATAAACAATAATTTTGTGTTTTTGATTTGCTGATTCTATATCGTCTGTTTTATCTCATATGAATTAACACGTGGTTGTAAGTTTCTTGATATCTACATGTATGTATACTGAATACAAAATTTATTTAACAAACGTTGTGTTATTGTTGTTAATTGTGTATGCTTTATTAAATTTACGCATATACTAATTTTATTAGGTAAAAAGATATTAAAAGGTATAATTGATCAAGTACTTTTACTGGCATTATGTTATTCTGATTTGAACAAAAGTATATACAAATAATGTATAATTTAAAAATGTCATTCTGGTTTGTAACAGTTCTTTAATTGCTGAAAGCAAACATTACATTTTATTAACTCTAATATGATACTTTATTAAATATAGCTTGTTTCCTTTTTTGAAAAATTTTCAGTGAATGTTAAAAAAATCCCGCTTACCTCAAATTTTGATAAAAATACACTCATTCGCGTTTTTGTACGAAATGAATGAATATCTGGCAACAATAATGATCGCAACATAGCAACAAATCGAACGATTCTTTGTATTAGCAGTAAATTTTTATATTTAAAGCAGTAAATTTGTGTTTTTGAAACAGCATTCTTCTTCTTTCTAATTTAATGGCACCCATTACATATGGCGAACGCCAACGATACGGCCAGTATCAAATGTGACGACTTGTAAACAATGAAGATGATGAAATTGAGAGCACCCGATCTGAAACACGTTCCCCGCGGTCGAGTGGTTCTTCGGAACTTTGAAACAGCATTAATAGAGCATGAAAAATATAATATCGATGCGCATGTCGTATTGCAGTTTTCGCGGCTGTGACAGATTTCCTAACCTGAATAGTCATAAACTTTAACGATTAATATCTCGGTTTGTGGGACACAGCGGGACGTTTTTCTACTAGATTCATTCATTTCGTACAAAAACGCGTCGAATGAGTGTATTTTTATCAAAATTTGAGGTGAGCGGGGTCTTCTTAACATTTACCAAATTTATATTTTGATTAGCTTTTACTAAAGTGTTTTATTAAGTGTATATTTTTATTGGTAATAATAAATGTATTAATCTTTATTTTATACTTTTCTTAATTGTATATGTATGCATCAGTAAGTATGTACAATTATTGAAATTTTTATTTTTATTGCAACAGATATAAAATTATATTGTGCCATGGCAACCAAGGAAGAAGTAAACAGTACAACTACTGATGCAAAGATTGAAGAGACGCCAGATAATTCAACAACAGAAGATCCACCAACTAGTTTAGATACCATCCCTGAGGGAAATGCACCACGAAATGAGCTTCAAACAGCGCCAAAAGACAAGTCAAAGAGTATGACTTCATCTTCGTTTACATACAAATTTACAAGTGTGCAACAAAGTATATTTGAAAAAGTGAATTTTAAATTTAAATTTCATAGTTGATATACTACTGAAGGCTACTGCCAATGCTCCGATTATGAAACAAAAGAAATGGTCAGTTTGTCAAGACAATCCTATTGGACGGATCTCGGAATTCATAAAAAAATATCTCAAGCTGGATCCTAACGAGAGACTGGTACATTGAAATACTCCTTTTCTCTTCTATTAGTACAATGAGGCGACGATAATAATAATGAATTTTTGCTTTTCAGTTTCTCTATGTCAATCAGACATTTGCACCTGCTCCAGATCAGACAGTCAAGAATTTGTATGATTGCTACGGTGCTGACGGAAAGTTGGTTATACATTACTGTAAGAGTCAAGCATGGGGCTGAGATTTGTTAAAATTAGCTTGCCAATATTAATTTTCTCCGACAAAGAATAACATATAAGTTGACATGAGAAACACATTGTGATAATTCTAGTTTTCTATTTATTATATAATTTTAAGTTTTTAACTTATGTTTAATATAATTGTAATTACAATATAATTATGATACCCGGTTTTTTTTATTGTTGTTTTGTAGAAGAATTCTTGCTGATATTACATATTCATGTTATAAAAATGCTGTCACAGTTACATTGTATGCATTAATCTTTTAATATGATAATATTGAAACCCTGAGTAAATTAATCGATAAATGTCATTAATTGGTAAATGTCACGAAATGATTGTTTATTATGTTTTTGACGTAATGGATCTTTTGCTGCATGAATCTGAAGTTTCTTTCAATTTTTCCACCGTCCGTGCTTTGCTAGATGATCTATCACTCTTTGTGTCCTTGCATCGACATTGGTTCGGTGTACCTGCACTTGATTTGGAGCTCGCCGAGCTTCGCGATGTACATTTGCAAACGGATGTTCTTTCTTCGCGAGTTTCTTTTCTGAAACCTTTACTCTGATCAGAAGCAACTGATGGCGGCTTCTGATTACCTATCGTTAATAAATTAGCAAATATGAGTTTCAATAACATGTAAGATTTACATTACTGTAATAAATCTCTGTTTTACTTTGTCATACATTTAAGAATATAATATATACTTACTTATACATGATGAACTAGATTTTTTAGAGGATCGTACAGTCTGTTCCACCACGATACTTTCATCATTCTCTGCTTTTCGCGAAGATAATTTGTTCATATCCTCGTTGGGTATGCTACATATTGAACTAGCGACTCTTTCTGACTTATCCTCTTGAACTGGCACGCTCTTGGAGTCCTTTAAGATCTCGGACGGACATTTCCATAATATAATTGTTCCATCAGCGCTTGCTGTTACTATATGCTTGCCGTCCGTACTGAACTTACACGCGGTGATTATCGCAGCGTGGGAAGTACCAGCGTGGGTAAAATCTGCGCTGTTATACTCCCAGATCTTGATGGTGCAGTCATTGGATCCAGTAACGAAGCATCGACCGTCTGAACTGATGTCTACACAATTCATCGTTCCAGCACTTGAGCCTTCGACCTCCCTCACTAGCGAACCGTCCAAAGTCTCCCAATAGGCGATCTTCCGATCCGTGCCACATGTCAAGATCTGAATACCGTCGGGCGTAAATTGTGCCATCATAAACATCGTGTTTCCTATGAGAATGTGTTTCCTGGTGCAGCTTCTGTTATGAAAAAATCCGGTAAAACTCACTCTTACATCAACTTAAGTAATACTTTTACAAGCGAAACTTACATTATGTCCCAAACAACGCACGTGCCATCCGTACTCGAACTTATCAGATCTACGTTGTTGCTTGAGATGTGCAAAGATGTTATTGGACCCCGATGTTCCTTCAGTATACTAATCAATCGCTTCACGTCAGTTTCTATGTTCCATATACGCACCTGGAAATCAGATAAGTTTCACATTAAATGGCAAAATTTTTTGATGCCTAATACATAATCGATACAAATACATGTTAATTTTTCCGCAGAAATAATGAACTGATTAAATTCGATTGTGTAATTGACAATGACATTTTGTAGAAAACGAAGTAAATCACCTGGCCGTCACAGCCGCCACTAATCAATGTAGTATCATCGCTCGTGATGGCAATCGTCGATACGGCTTTCGTATGAGCGTTATGAATAGAAAAAAATAAATTCCCGTTGTGTGTCGCGAACGCCCTTATTATACCGTCGTTCCAAGCTGAAACACATAAACAATAAAAATGTTTTCATCACGCGTGCACGTAATGTGCCCTATACCGCAACGCTTTTGCGTGCGGTAAATAGCCAATACCTCATGCCGTTGAGTTATTTCTCTAATCGACACAGGCACGCGTACGCACTCGCTTGGCTCGTGCGGTCGCGCCCGTCCCGCGCTATAAACAACTATCCCCCACTGTTACACAATGTACTATTATTTTAATTTAAATACGAGGCCTTTTTCCATGTCCTAGTTTCGAACTTCTTGCATAGTTTACCTTTTTTCTTTTTCTTTTCACATCGGAGAGAAAAAGACAAAAAAATGAACCGTGCTAGAAGTTCAGTCCTGGGATGTGGAAAAATTACAGTTACTCAATAGTGTGCATTACGGTACAAAAATTATAATAAATTACAACCGTTAAACCTTTGAGATATAAACGGGAAGCTTTCGATGAATGGACTTATTTTATATGGATTAAATCAATAATCTCAAATTATTGCATGGCTAATAACATTAGGAAGTTACAATCTTTGATTTATATAAAAAATACTTGAATTGTTAAAATTCTTCTTTAATTTAAATATAAACGACTACTACCAGAAAGTAGCATTTGATCATCACGTGCGAATTGTAAACTGGAGCAAATGAAATTCGCCACAGTGATACGAACTTTCTCCTTCTGTTTTTCCAGTAGCCACAATCTGACATCATTCTTGCTGCCTGTTGCGAATTCTTCCGAATGATTGCTGTGACATTAAAGTGACGTTAATCGATTTTCCAGCAACCAGCAAGCACAGTTGCAAAATTCCCTTACCGTGGAAACGCGATGCTGTATATGCAGCTAGTATGACACGTGACCAGCAGACGCATGTGAAAATTTGACAGCGTTATCTGATAGATCTCGCACCAGGATGTCCCAACCAGCACAAATTCGTTTAAATACAGTACCATGGATGTTATGGCGCTACACACGTTTTCTTTTTGATGCTGATTAATAAAAAAAGGACGATCATTACGATTTCAGTCATAAATTTTTTGCAAGTCGATCATTTGTATATTGCCAGCTTTCGTCATTAATTTTTGTTTTTGTAATTCAACATTTTGCAATATTTTTATATATCTTTTCCTTCCTTCGCCTTTGTCGATCGCAAGGTCGATCGTTTTTTGCTTCTTTCTTTTATAATGTATCTGCCGTGAAGTGACTTGAACGACTTACAGTGAGTATCTGCGGTGTATTGGGAAACTTCGACTGCTGCTTGTGCGTTCGGCTCTCTTTTATGTTTATTATTTGGATCAACTCGATGGTGCCATTACCAGTACCGACTACCAGTTTCCTATCCTTCAGAAGCAGCAAGCTCCTCACTCCACCCGCGTACAGGTCACCCTCGCCCGTCTTCATCTTCCTCGGATCGCGCGTTATCTTCGAGTAGCAGCCGATCATCACCGGCAAGCACACCGGTTCTCCACATTGCAGATCGTCACGTAAATTCAATCTGAGAAAGAAGAAACGATTGAACAGGAATGAGCAGCGAACAAAGATAAAGCACAATGCAATGATACAGCAATTAAAAGAGAAATATTAATTGAAAAGCTGATACTAATATTTTCATAGACGTCTCTTTGTGACCTTGCTTTAATGATATCACCGGAAGAAGTGCCGCAGTAGACAATCTCGTCCTTTTCGTCTACGGCGATGCAGTTGATGAGACGCTTCAGCTTGCCCACTTCCACGTCGAGATTGTGCACTCGACGCTTCCCCGCCTCAATCCACCAGATCTTCAGCGTCCTGTCACCCGCGGTAACGAAACACTCGCCATGTAGATGCGTTCTGGTAAGATTATATGCGTTACCACTCGTATCATTGCTGGCGAACGAACCTGCGAAGGATTGTTTTTTAGTATTTGATGTACATTTGTGAGTTGAATTTGTGCCCCACAAATTGTTTGCAAAAGGATTTCTTTCCCGGAGGAACTTCCGGAGAAACATTCTGTATTTCTTCAGTCAATATATATATATATATACCATATTTGCGCGCGTTCTTCTCGCAGATTTGTGCGGATATTGATAAAAAGATTAAGAAAAAGGTACCGCAAATTAGAGAATTTTTCTCGACGTCCCAGATAATTACGTTGCCGTCGTCTCTACCACCGAGACTCACAAGAAAATCGCTGTTGCAAGTAAAGCATAGGTCCACGATACCGACCTTGTGTGTCTCGTAACTGCCTTTCATCGTGCCTTCCTTGTAATTCCATACAATCACCATGGCCTGTGACATGAAGATGTAATCGGTGAAATCAAATATAATTGAATTGCATATGAGAATATTAAGAACGTATACGCACCTTGAAACCGAGATGATTGTTCTGTCCGGAAGCGACGTATTCACCGCACGGAGAGACGCACAATGTCGAAACATTATTTGTGTGACCGCTGAGAAATCGTTGCTCGCCAGTTTCGATATTTCTTACGACGACCTTGTAGCCCATCGGATAGAGGAGGTGCTTTTCATCCGGATGTAATTGCAGAGAGTTCTTTGTAATGCCTTAAAAAAAAAATTGAAGGACATTGGAAATATAAAATTCAATGGAAGAAAATGTAAAATTATTAATCATGGAAGAAGTGGCATACGCAGTATAATTAATTAATTTCATCTAGAAATATGTGCAAATATAAAAGCATATACGTTATATAAAATCTCGATTTATCATTGTTCTTTTCAGAAATTCAAATATTGTAAATTTTACATTCCTCGGTTTTATATTACACTCGACTGATGTTACTTAATTAGATTTTATTGATTTTATATATTTCTCATTTTTTAAATTCATTTTGTGAATTAAATTTATTTAATCACTTATTTAAATAAATCCGTTTCGAATTTTATAGAAATTGAATCCTCGTTATTTGTGAAATAAAATAATAAACTATAAGACAGAATACCGCGCTTTCTGTACAAACCATCAAATGTAATTATTCCAATTGTTTCGAGATCTTGAGGCTCCATATCGCTTCGTTTATCAACTTTATGATAAATATATTATCAGGAATATACTAGGCTGTGAAAAGTGTAAAGTGTTGCGGAAACGACGTATATAAACGGCGTTACCTTGGTGATAAATTGATTGTTTATGCACCCGGTGCACTTCGTTAACTCATTTGAGTTTTACTCTGTAAAATTACTTTTATCTTTTCAAAAAAGTACAAAAAGATGTCAAAAAATGTCAAGTATATATACACATCATTAAAGTAGCAAAAAACAATGTTTTTTATCAAAATACATTACAAAATTTAAAAACAGTATAACTGAATATAACTTAGAAACGTTAAAAGTATTTTTTGCGATATAAAAATAAATTTTAAAACGTTAATAATAAATAATTAAAGATAAATATTCATAATTTGCAATTCTCAAGGTTTCGTGATATCCGTTAAATACTTTTATATGTATAAATTATGTATATATTTATGTTTACAACGTATACTTTTTGCAGAGTTATATTTTCGATCGTCGATATTACAGTTTTCGTGTATATCAATTTAGTTTTGTAGTTTCTATTCCGACCGTAATATTAGAGGGAGCGCATAAATTTTCAAATATACGTAATATGTATGATGTATGTATACATCCGTGATATATCATTTAACAATTAACATAGTTCTTAATTAATCTCGAATTACATAATTTGATTTAAATTAAGTAACGAGATAATTACGATAAAAATAAGCTCCATTTATCTCGATAAAATTTAACAATAGTGAGAGAAGGTACATCTTTTACTTTCAAATACAACAAGTTTAAAAAACATTAAATTATGAAAAATATAATGTAGAATGTCAAATAATAAATGAAATAAATGTAAAAAAAAAATTAAATAATTATAAGAAATATATAATTTTCGTGAATTATATGCACGTATTATATTTGTGTAATTAATTATTTATACAATATTATTATCTGTAATTTTTGTAATCTCATATATAGGTAATATAAAATTTTAAAAAATAACTTTTAAATATTATAAATCTTATAGAGATTACAAAAGCGTAATTTTTTAATTATCAATCATGCTGGCGAACTTCGCGGATCGTCAACATTATCTTGGTCGCAAATTGTTGCCGTTGCATTGAAAAATATATCGGATTCAGTGGCCTTGTGACCTTACTCAAAAGAGATAATTAGCGTCGATATCGCGATCAATATCGGACGTTTTGCCTGTATAGAAAAAAATAGAGTTACATGAATCAGAATTTACATGCAAAACCCGAGAATCACGATATGTCAGCACGTTTGCCATGAGATAATACGTGAATAGAATTCGTCAGGTTTATAGGTTCGCGATTTTTATACGGAAGACGAGTGGTCTCTTATACGTCAAAGGCAAAATCATTCCTGTGAAGGTCTCCAGATCCGTACTTTCTAAAACTTTTAGAGTGAAATCTTACTCTTAAAGATTGAAAATTGAATCATTCTTTTCCTGCATAATGTGCGACTGGCTCTCTCAATTCTCTCTTTAGAATGAGACTCCACTCCTAAGAATTTAGAGTGCAAAGAAAGCATCTTCCTGTCATTTTCCAAATCGTACGAAAATTTGAATAAATTCACGGAAAATGATCGTCGATTATACGCCCAAGTTAGAAAACCGCGATCCACGATTCGCTCCCTTCGAAAGCAGCATATAACAGTATAACGTTTCCTTATGGAAAATATAAAATGATGAAATCGGCGCATATCTCCTCCATTGTTAGCCAATACACGTTATCGTCGCGTGTTGACGTAATAAGGTTCAACGGCTGCATGGAAAAAACAGTTCGGGAAAGACTATAGTACACCTACTAGTACACCTCAAAAACGTCGTGCACACGGTCGATTCACGGCCGAGATCGGGCTTATCGCCTCCTCGCCGCTCGTACCCTGCGTTTCTCTTACGTTCCCCACCCTGAATAATGTGCGACGAGTAGCAAATGTAGATATAAAAGCGAACTTAGGAGGGTGCCGGATTCAGTCGCTCGCGACACATGTGTACGGTTTGGCGGTGATAACTTTGTTATTTTAGAGCTCTTTGTGGCCTTTGAAAGAGGAAGGGCGACTTTCGAGTAAGGAGGACAAAGAAAAGCAAAAAAAAGCTTCCCTTATTGTCGCTTCATCCCTCGGACTTCAACGATTAGCGATTAGGAAAGAGGAGACTCTTTTTGGCGTTGTATTCCTCAAGGATAATTAATCTTTCAAGGATGATCTCCGCGATGAAAATGTGCTGTAAGTACGATCTCGCGTCATAATCTAGCGCGCGAGTCTCTTACCTTATGCAGTGGAAAGAAGTCTGTAACAGCTATCAAGTGTTGAATGAAATAATTTCAATAAAATGTGCGATCGATATGATTAAAAATAATTTTATTTGTCTAAATATTTAGTAAATATTAGCAAACATAATAGTATATAACCAACTGTTTTAATAATACTTATACTATAAGATGTTTACAGAAAAAAATTACTTTATTTATTTCATTTATTTGGTAGATATTACCAGACTCTTTTTTCAGTATGTCCGCCTCCGTGTACTTGCCTTCTGGTTGTGTGTTCGATCGATCTTCTTATTCATCGGATTCTGAGCGATTTGCAAATTAACGATTTCATCTTTGCGGTTGCGCGCGCAAATGATTTATTTTATCGATATCAGAAGTTGTCGAGTACCAAAGTCGATATAGCAGAGAAAAATATTCAAAAAAGCCGATAATATCGTTGAATGTTGTAAGTTATTTTGTAATCTCTCGAGCGGATAACACAGCTATGAAGTTATCGCGATGATCTGAAAACCGCGGTATGAAAAATCCAGTTGAAATACTTACATCCTGTTTTATATATGATCCCTAATAGTACATTATTGACAAATGTAAGCCCAGTATTGGCTCAGTATACTTTCAATGTTTAACCAATGTATCGCCAACAAATTACCATTAGGGACGTGTACATGAAAAGAACGAGTTTTGCTGAGGTATCTAAAAATTTAGATAGATACATATCTGAAAATAATTTTGTTGAATCGTCAAAAATTTATCAACGCTCAAATTAATGATAATACAGGCAGCTTTATGTATCCGAAATAATTTATTTTTAAGATCCAAACAAAATTATTTCAAATCTATATCTAGCTAAATTTTTAGATACTTCAATAAAATTAATTGTTTTTCCGCGTGTATAATATATCATTATTTTATCCTTGTTATTCACCGAATATAAAGGATAAAATGATATATCATGCTCATCATGCGTGAAACGGAATACATTGATTGCCGAATACAAATTGATTCGTCGTTGACGATCTATAAATGGATGCCAGCTGTTCACTAATCCGATTTTTAAAAAATAAACATTTATAAATTTTGCTAAGATAAAATAATTAATAAAATAAGTACAACATATAGAGTAACATGCTGATATAAAAGTAGGCAAAATTATGTATGTATAACTTATACGGTATCAATATGATGACATGCCAAATATAATTGCGCGCACGATTTCCTCAAAATTCTATCTTCGGGAAATATGGTTGCAATTTGTAAACACAGAGTGTTGTGTTGCATCTTTTCATTTATTTCATAAAAGTAAACAATACTATAATAATGTTTATTTTATTTTATTATAAAAGTAAATAATAATAATTTTAATGTATAAAATTAACCCTTTTCGAATCAGATATGGAAGCTCTTATCACTATGACGAACCATATATGGAGCTCATATATACCTCATGCTATACTTTATCAAAAGTTCATAAGTTATATGTATATTAATTTATATAATTCGACTAACAACGTCTCACTCCAGTTACACGAAACGGTAATTTGCACACAGTACTTCTTAAGAAGTTATAAAAGTTTACATCCTACCGGGGTATATGTCACACTCCATCTAGTTCACTGAAGGTTAATAGTTTTATAGAAGCGTAAAGAAAATTGAGGGAGAGAACTGCAAAATATGTTTGTCATCACCTGTCAAAAAGGCAACATCATCACAAAAGGATCATCGATTATTAGAAATCTCAATTTGCTATAAAATCAGTCGTGATCCGTAAGCTTTCACGTTCGCCTGACCACAAGAAATGCCTTGACATTAATTGTGGAACCCGTTTGTTTGCCCAGATCACTTCCTGACATTCACGCGCGGCAGAACGCGGGGGGTACTACGGCTAATAATTAATCATTCCCTTTATAGCTGAAACGGAAACGTGGCAAAGAATCGGATGCACAAAAAGCTACCGGGAAAGGCGAAAAGAAATCCGAGAAGTTCTAATTCATTGTCTCTATTTGTCGACTGTCGGTCGCGTCCGAGATTTTTCTTTCTCTTCTCACCTTTCTCTCTCTCGCGAACCTTGACAGGCGCGGCCGCATAACGAACGGCTTCCGCGGAAATCAACGACTGTATCACATCCCTCTGCGGAGATCGCATTTTCTTTCACATTCCTCGCAAACGGAAGGAATGCGAGGCACGAATGTTCATTCCTGTTCATGTGACATCCATGAATCATGCGTTCGTTACGAGACTTCGACGAAGCGTGCGATTACAGATCTTTCGCGAGTAGTTGTATGCTGAATAAAAAAGTCTTCTCATTTTTTTTCTCAATAAATGGCTTTTATCAAGCGTAACGTGATTATATACTCAATGAGAACGGTGTAATGAGGTTATCTGAAAAGTGACAGAAAATTGTAAAAGAAACATTCAGTATCTTACTTAATGAAGCTTTGATTTTAAATGTAAAATTTGACTTTGTTTAAAAGATAAAAAGATTTGAATTCAATATTGATGAAAAGTACAGCTCGTAAAAGATATATTTTACGGATAGAGTTTCTGATGTTCCTGCTGTATCTTAAAATATATTTTAAGATTCAATTTAATATAGGTAATATTTGAAATATTTGTACATTCAAGAACTTTGCACACATGACAAATTATAAGATTATAATGAAGTTTTTGTCAATTTATATTCTCGAAAATGATTTAAATGTGGAAAATGCTATATTTTAATTGCAATTTAATTTATGGAATTTTTAACCGCACACACGAATTTAATATATGTTATCTAAATACTCATTGTTGTTTCACATTGCGGACCACGTAATTGTTTTTCAAACCATGTACTTTTTTGCGCGTTTTTCCGTTCTTCACTGAACAATGAGTCATAATATACAATTTTCCATAAAACTTTTGTTTTTATTATAAATATATTATCCAAAATGTTTCTTTACCTTGCACAAGAAAACAGCAATTTAATAACTGTAAATAAATCAAATATTAAATGATTTTTAGCAAACTCTTGCGGAGATTCGATACTTTTCACTGTCAAATACCTCCAAAGGGGAAAAACTTATGCCATTAATCATCCAAGAAACACACATAAAAGTCAACAAAAAATCAAAACAACTTTATTTTAAATATCAATAAATAGTCAAATTTTGTAATAAAAAATCACATTATTTTGACTTTTATGACGTTAAATTAAAATCATTTTAACTTTAGTTTGATTCGATCTTTTGGATATCTGCAAACATTGACGATGTTTCGCGCTCGTGGTTCTTGGTTTTAGCATACGAAGTAAACTGGATAATTCCTGCGTTGCGCGTGTGGTCTATAGTTGCTTGTCACGTTAATTTTCAGACATTTAATTACCGTCATTTGTTCGAGAATAACGAAGGATCACGGGGCTGATTACGGTAATTAAATCGCGAGCGCGTGTCTCTGTTCGCTTCGTCTCGGCATCGCAACACGGCAGCGGAAACGAATGTCTCGTTATCATCATTTCGACAAATCAATGTCGAAACAGTTAATAAATTATTGTAGTAAGAAAGTGTGAGAGAGAGAGAGAGAGGCAACAATATTATCGGTAAAGTCTTTGTTAGACTCTTCGAGCACTTTCCGCATATCGCATAGATAAGATAGCGCCCGGCAGCAAGCGATCGGCATTCTTCATAAGCAATGTCAAACAAAAAGCTATTTTTCACACGGCGTGGTCGATTACGATAAAGTAACAACCTTTTTGCATGCTACGTTGTCCACGGAATTAAAATTTCAGCTTAGTTAATGACAATAGATTGATACTAAAAGATCGCGCCTTTGTCCATTGCAAGACTGTCATTCATGCTTCAAATCGAAGGTTTCGATCGCAAAAACAATTTGGAAAAAAAAAAACGGGGAAATTCGCGGACTATTCGATTTTATTGCGTTTCATCATCGCTATTAGTCATTTTATTTACTGCAAAGACAGTCTGAATGGCTCGATAAGAACATTTTTATAGAGAATCCTGCTGAATCAACTTTTTAATTGTTACTTAATAATGACTACATAAATATATAAAAAGACCGATAAACTCGATTCGCACTCAATTGATCGCACTTTTCTTCGAAGACCTTATCGAATCACAGTTTTCAATTCCTCCAGATCTTGCTATATACATTTCCAGATAGCAAGCCAAATTGTCATTTTAACGTGAAAATGATGTTAAAAATGTTATTTTTTGTCATTTTAAAATGATGATAAATATAACGTCAGCTTGCTACTTGGGTTGTAACGCACAATAAATAAATTTGAAGACATATTATCCGTTGAAATTTATTTAATTATTTGAAACTATTACAGATATACAACAATAATGTTATTCTTTAAAAAAATAGTCAAATAAAAAAACCTAATTTTTTTAAATTACTTATTAAAACGCCCTTGAATTAAATTTTTAAAAAATTTGGTGTCCATTAAAATCAGTTCTGAAGGGCGATGTTAAAGTTATAAATACTTTAATGAGACCGCGCAGTAGCTGGTGACGGCGAGATTCGATCCGACGTAGTGCCGGCAACAATATCACAAACTATTGTTATTATTTTATTACTAGTATTACTTTCCTATCTCCGGATAATAATCCGATGAGCCTACCGTTGACAGACGATAATATTGCGGACTCTGTTGTATTATCTTCGCGCAATTTCCGGGAAATTTTCGAAAATAACCAGAACACCTATTATAATTCAAGGAATGGATTCCGACTTGAATGGGAATTATTCAATTATTTCTTAGATTTCTATAGTGTTCTTTTTTTAAGGGAAAACGGAATAATTTCGTTCGAAATTTATTCATGTTCCATGATATTAGGAATCTTGCGGATCGATGCGATTTTTTTCTTATAAATTTACTCCCGAGATCGATCGTTGGATCAGCTGATGCATTTATCCTGCTTACTTGGGCATATATACATGATCTCTCGCGTGTGC